AAAACTTTATTGATAGTTTTATTGGTATCTAAAACTTGTGAAAAATTATAAACACATATGTACACATATATATTGTTTTTTATTTTTTACAGCGTTTTCTTACTCTTTCCAAATGTATCGTAATATATTTCGTTTCTGATTTTATCATTAATATTAAGAACAATAATCATATTTTCTTCTTAATTTTGTATTTAATAACGTATATTATTTTTATATGGATAGTATATTATGATATTAACATTATGATTATGAAATAATAGTGAACATATCGTCTTGTTTCTGAGATACGATCTGAGTGTTGTACATATCGGCGTAGGATATTCGATGTTAGCTTCAAGTTCTTTTTTTTTTGCTAAGTCTTCAAGTTTATGCTAGAATTTCTTGTTCTATAAAAGTGAAATTTAACATTTTATACTATGTAATATATTTATTAAAGCCATCTCATTTTTTTAGTATTATTTATCTCTAACACTAATGAACATATCGTCTTGTTCCTGAGATACGATCTGAGTGTTGTACATATCGGCGTAGGATATTCGATGTTAGCTTCAAGTTTATGCTAGAATTTCTTGTTCTATAAAAGTGAAACTTAACATTTTATACTATGTAATATATATTAAAGCCATCTCATTTTTTAGTATTATTTATTTCTAACACTAATGATAGAATGGAAGCACGAAAAAACGAAGACTTGTTTCTCACGTTTCCTCGAAGCTAAAGAAACAAGGTGGTCTCTGTTTTGCTACACGAAAAACAGAGTGTTGAGACTTGAAAGAATACGCTTCTTGTAAAACTCGATTTAGAAGAAAACTCTTTATTAATTCAATGATAGATGATCTCTTTACAAACACCTAGAGATCTATTTATAATGATTAAACTAACACAAATTCTAATGAAAATAGGAAACATAACTTTTAATTAAAAAGGAAAAAACCAGCGAAAAGGAAAATTGCCAAAGAAACCAAAAACCAAATTCTTGTGTAACACAAAAGCTCAAACGTGTGAGACAAGGTAATGCTGTGCTGCATCAACTAATCAGTATCCTAATTTTTTGGGTTAATCAATTTCCTATTGGAATATTATGTTTAATTCCTAAAACTAGAAAGAAAAAACATCAAATATGTGTTTAAGTAACAACAAGATGAGTTTTTGTTTTGCTAGAAGATGAAGAAAAGGTTTATGGATCATAGTATAATGAAAAATAGAAATGTTATGATTCTTACTTGCGTTAGAAAAAAGACGAGTTTACAGAGTGTGTAACATCACAAAAAACTCCAGAAGTCATTATCTTTGATCGAATGACCTGACTGTTAATTACTCTTAAGAGTATTTTTTTCAAAATGATTTTAAATTCGATTATTTTTCAAACAAATTCGAATAAAACTGTTTTTGAGTGACTAATTAATCATGTAGGTACATTAAAACAAATGATATGTAATCATTAAAATGAGTTCAACATGGAACATAATTTAAAAAAAAATTGATTAGAAACCTAAGTTTATTTGTAAAAAAAAAAATATTTCATCTAAATTCGAATACAAACTGAAACAAGACTATGGCACTCAAACAAGATTACGATTTACCTTAAACGCTATTATTCACAAACAAAAGAATCATACAAACTCAGAAGACTTTCATCGGAACCGGATTGAACACTATTAACAAATTTTAACCACAAACATATGTTTTTCTAAGTTGTTGGTATATATCTAAGTATTTGATACAAAAACAAAATTCTTTAATGTTCGAGTTATTACGAAAGTTCCGCTCGATTTTAAATTTGATGGGATCAATTTTATTTTTCTCCCACCGTGACTTTTCTTCTTTGAGTGTTATGGCATGCAATGGTTTTTTATAACTTATAAGATATCAAATTTTGATATGTTGACAACAAAAAGAACAAATATCGATATTTGGGTAAACCAGCCTCCGTAATTAGCTTCCAAGTTTCGGTTATACTATTTAAAGTGGTCTAAAGTCTTTTTTTTCTTTTTGTCGACATGTGGGCCACAACGGTCGGCCCACTGGCCTATTATCTCTCAGAGGGAGAAGGTGGGGATCGAACCCCAGATCATGGTGCCAGTTGGGAGGTGTATAAACAACCGTACTACGTGTACTCTGGCAAGTGGTCTAAAGTCTAAACCACGAAAAAACCCGTCATTCTTATTTTCTTTATCCCATTAAAATAACAAAGACCAAATAAAGCAAAAAGTTTGCAGAGTCTATACCTTGATATGTCATAATTCATAAGGCAACAACGTGAAAGAGACAAAGAGTAAACCATGTTTATGAGCCACAAGATGTTTGGTTTAAACCGTTGTGGTTAAAGTAAAGTTACTAACCTATCAAGATAGATTATATGGTGTCTATGAAGCCAAATATGTCATTCAAGATAGATTAGTGTATCGTCTCAATAATTATTGTCCCCCGAAAACATAAAATTTAAATGTGAATGTGTGTTAACAACACTATGGAAACAACTTAATTACACTCCAAAAGTGAAATTTTACATCAAGAAAAACGGTACCTTTTTTAGTCAAAACGTTAACTTCTCACAACTTATCATATTCATTAAAAAAAAAAATCGTACCAAGAGAAATATAAAAAGTTATCATTTTTAGAGTAATACCTGCAATATTCACTTTGTTATGGGGAGTTTTTCCATCAGTAAGTTCCACCACTAAGGGACAAGTCTTTTACACAAACAACATGTTGAGGCTACTTCTCCATACAGTGCTACATTTGAACGACATCCCATGAAGTGTTAAGATGCTTAGATCAAATGATGTCTCTTGTTCTTTGGAAATAACTATATAGTTCTATATCCCTCTAAATTGTTAGCATAGGTTGAACATACTTACTTTAGAGGCGGATCATACTTCTTGGGAGTTTCACCATCATGCATTTTTGTGCATTCAGAGGTGTCTATTGCGACAAAGATATCACGTAAGTTTTCACTACAAGAAAACAGGGCCGTTTCCGACGGACAAAACCGTCGGAAATCCGTCGGAAATAGCCCTATTCCGACGGCTGTCCGACGGTTCTGGTCCGTCGGTTCTATCTCGTCGGAAATTAAAAATCCGTCGGAAATATTGACGGATTTTCGACGGGCATAAGGTCCGACGGATTTCCGATGGGCATAAGTTCCGACGGATTTCCGACGGCCCTGTTAACCGACGGATTTCCGACGGCCCTGTTAACCGACGAATTTCCGACGACCCTGTTAACCGACGGATTTCCGACGGCCCTGTTAACCGACGGATTTCCGACGGCCCTGTTAACCGACGGATTTCCGACG